AAAGCTATATCCAGAGATACAGACTTGACCTCTTTGCTCACTCACAGAGGCAGTACAACCAGAGATAATCCGCCGACCAGCCTACCCCTTCCCAGTCCTCTAATAAGACAAAAGTTTTGAAGCTCAGGTCAGGAGTCATCAAATTCATCCCTCTCCTCCCGTCCTTCATGATACTCCAATATGCACACAATACCTAGCACCTTTCCATCATCACTGGTGCCTCATAACATCCGACATATGGGTGCTGGATATCATAAAGAACGAGTACTGCATGCCTTTTCTGTCCATCCCAAAACCCCAACCACCCACTCCATCCCTCTTGAGAGACCCATCTCACAAGTCTGTCCTATGTCAAGAAATCGACCACCTGCTCTCCATCAAAGCAGTAGAACGTGCTTCTGCATGGTAACCCTCTCCACCATCATTCTCTCTCTCAACAAAGATGACTGGTTGGTGACTCTCGACCTCCAGGATGCGTATTTCCATGTGCCTATCCACCCTGCGCACAGGAAGTTCCTCAGATTTACTGCGTGTGGACAGCCCTTCCAGTACATGGTACTCCCCTTTGTCCTTTCCACCGCACCAAGGGTATTCTCCAAGGTACTGGCGGTAGTTGCAGCTCATCTGCACAGACATGGAGTGTCCATCTTCCCTTATCTAGATGATTGCCTTATAAGGGCAGACTGCCTTCAAGAAACACAAAAGTCAGTCAGTACAACCATGGAAGTCTTTCAATCCCTGGGTCTCCAGATAAATCTTTCCAAGTGTCAACTCCAGCCAACCCAGGTGCTAGAGTTCCTAGGGGCCCATTTAGACTGTAACACCACCACTGAATCTTTGCCCCATCACAGATTCCTAGCCACATGGGAGCTCATTCATCTCTACTGCACAGCTCCCCAACTACCCTCCAGGGCATGTCTCCAGCTCTGACTTAAATGGGGCTTGTGTGCCACCACCACCATGGTAGTTCCTCATGCCAGACTATACATGAGGCCATTACAACACTGGCTCAGCACAGTCCATAGAATGAGGAGACACAGCCTCCTCAAGCTGGTCCCGGTGGCACTCACCATGAGAAACTTGATCCAGTGGTGGTTGAATGCACAAAATGTGCGCTGGGGTCCCCTTCCACAAACAAGCACCCTCCTTTACAATCACCACGGATGCATCCCAACTAGGATGGGGAGCCCACGTAGGCACCCTTACCAAACAAGCCTAATAGTCACCTGCAGAGACCATTCTGCATATCAATACCCTCGAGCTCTGCGCAATATTCTACACTTGCTGGCACTTTCGAGACCATATCTCCAATTCCACTGTGCAGATTTTTACAGAAAACCAAGCTGCAATGTTCTACATCAACAGGTAGGGAGGAGCCAGATCTTACCCCCTCTGCAGCAAAGCAGTCCGCCTCTGGACATGGTGCATTGCACACAACATAACCCTAATTGCCTCACACCTCGTAGGCAAAGACAACGTAACAGCAGACTCTTAGAAGGAACAGCTCCTCCAACCATGAGTGGGTAATGGATCCCACCATCTTACACCAGATCTTCCAATGCTGGGGTTTTTCCCCAGATTGACCTATTTGCGACACATACCAACAAAAAATGCCCTCAATATACTGTTCACGTGCAGGCATTGGCTCACTCTACCTGGGAGACGCATTCACGATCCACTGGGGCATAGCACTCCCTCTACGTTTTTCCACTTATACCTCTTTTCCATTAAGTGGTCAACAAAATCCGAATGGACAGGGCCAATGTTATCTTCATAGCCCCAGACTGGCCGAGACAAACGTGGTACTTACCTGCTCCAAATGCATCCAAGCGGCCATGGCGTCTCCCTCATGTCTTCATCCAACACTGCGCTCGCCTCCATCACCCACACTCTCCAGCTCCAGATGGGGTTTCTCCGTGGCTCACTCCACTAGAATCACAATGCACATATCAAGTCCAAGAAATTCTCAACAGCCGCAGAACATGCATTCGGAAATCTTACCTGTACAAATGGTGATGCTTCTCTTCTGGTCCCAAAGAAACGACCTCAATGCAACCTCAGCTCCGCTACCTGCAGTCCATGATGGAGCTTAAGAACTTGGGCCTTTCCCTGAGATCCCTTAAAGTCCATCTTGCTGCAATCACAGCTCTACACCAACCAATAGACAATACATCGGTGTTCACACACCTGATAACTAAATGATTTCTTAAAAGCCTGCAAACACCTACCTGCCCACCAAACCACCAGTCCCTGCCTGGAACCTCAATCTCATTCTTAGTTCCCTAACAAGAAAGCCCTATGAGCTGATGGCAACCTGCTCGTTGTTCCACCTCTCCATAAAGATGGCCTTCCTTGTGGCTATAATGTCCACCAGAAGGGTTGGGGAAATCGGGGTCCTCATAAATTAATGGAGATTGCCTATCTCCTAGAACTGGAAGGGACCTTGAAAGGTCATCAAGTCCAGTCCCCTGCCTACACAGCAGGACCAAGTACCATCCCTCATGAATTTTTGCCCCAAATTCCTAAATGGCCTCCACAAGGATTGAACTCACAACCCTGGGTTTAGCAGGCCAATGCTCAAACCACTGAGCTATCCCTCCCCCCCTCTTTCATAAAGACAAGGTGGTACTTTGGCCTCACCCCAAATTCATGCCAAAGGTCCCTTCCATGTTCTATTGCAATGAATCCATCAATTTACCTGTCTTCTTTCCTAAACCTCACGACAATGAGGCGCAAGCAATGCTCTATACCCTCAACCTCCACAGGGCCATCACATTCTACATAGATAGAACCAGACATCTGCAAAACCAACAGATTATTAATTTCAACTGCTCAACCATCTCAGGGACTGCCCATTTCCTCTCAGAGACTATCCAAATGTATAGTGGGGTGCATAAGAGTAGTATACACAGCTTTCGGCAAAGAACCACCTGCACAACTTCATACACAGTCAACCAGAGCCATGGCTGCATCAACTGCATATATCCAGGTCATTCCCCTGTCAGATATCTGTAAATCAGCTACCTGGTCGTCCATCCATACTTTCATGACCCATTATGCTCTCGACATACATCCCTGTAGGGGAACCCTGTTCGGTCACACCATTCTCACAGCTGTCTATAAGGACACTACACTGACCGAAGCTCCCAGCTCTAGTGGATGAACCGCTTCATAATCACCTAAGGTAGAGCACCCACAGGGATGCTCCTTGAAGAAGGAGAGAGTTACTCATCCTCTGTAGTAACTGAGGTTCTTTGAGATGGGTGTCCCTGTGGGTACTCTACTACCCACCCTTCCTTCCCTCTGCTTCAGTGTATCGTCACGCATTCCTTCCGGGGCAGAGAAGGAACTGAAGAGATGATAGCCCATGCATGTGCATTAGCTTCTTGGTGTGGAGTGTGCTGCGCATGTGCGAACTACCTGTCACTAGCACTGCTATTGAAATCTTCTGGCTGAGCACAGTGCGGCACCCAAACACCTATGGTGGAGCACCCACAGAGACACCTATCTCGAAGAACCTCAGTTACTGCAGAGGGTGAGTAACCCTCTCTTCTTATATTGTGGGAACAAGTACATAACTTTTCCTTGTTCACTTTTTTCACACCAGTCATGATTTTACCTATCATATCCCCCCTTAGTCTCCTCTTTTCTAAGGTGAAAAGTCCAAGATTTTTAAATCTCTCTTCATACCAAACCCGTACCAAACCCCTAATAATTTTTGTTTCCCTTTTCTGAACCTTTTCTAAAGCCAATATATCCTTTTAGAGATGGTGACCACATCTGTACACAGTATTCAAGATGTGGGCATACCATGTTTTTATATAGAGGCAATAAGAAATCCTCTGTCTTATTCTCTATCCCTTTTTTTTAAATGATTCCTAACATTCTATTTGCTTTTTCGACTGCCACTGCACACGGAGTGGATGTTTTCAGAGAACTATCCACAATGACTCCAAGATCTCTCTTGAGTAGTTGTAACTAATTTGTCCCCATCATATTGTGTATGTAGTTGGGATTATTTTTTCCAACGTACATTATTTTACATTTATCAACATTACATTTCATTTGCCATTTTGTTGCCCAATCACTCAGTTTGGTGAGATCTTTTTGAAGCACTTCACAGCCTACTTTGATCTTAACTATCTTGAGCAGTTTGGTATCATCTGCAAATTTTGCCACCTTACTGTTTACCCCTTTCTCTAGAGGATCATTTTTAAATAAGTTGAATAGGATTGGTCCCAGGACAGACCCTTGGGGGACCCCCGTAGTTATCTCTCTTCATTCTGAAAACTTACTATTATTCCTACCCTTTTTTCCTGTCTCTTAACCAGTTATTAATCCACAAAAGGACCTTCCCTCTTATCCCATGACAACTTACTTTACTTAAGAGGCTTAGATGGGGGTTCTTGTCAAAGGCTTTCTGGAAATCTATATACACTGGATCCCCCTTGTCCACATGTTTGTTGCCCCCCTTAAAATACTCTAGTAGATTAGTGAAGCATGATTTCCCTTTACAGGAACCATGTTGACTTTCCTCAACAAATTATGTTCATCTACGTGTCCAACAATTTTATTCTTTACTATATTTTCAAATAATTTACCCAGTACTGATGTTAGACTTACCAGCCTGTAATTGCCAGGATCACCTCTAGAGACCTTTTTAAATACTGGTGTCACGTTAGCTATCTTCCAGTCACTAGGCATGGAAGCTGATTTACGGGATATGTTGCAAATCACAGTTAATTCCACAATTTCACATTTGCGTTCTTTTGAACTCTTGGGTGAATACCATCTGGTCCCAGTGACTTGTTACTGTTAAATTTTTCAATTTGTTCCAAAACCTCCTTTAATGATCCCTCCATCTGGGACAACTCCTCAGATTTGTCACCTAAAAAGAGTACAAGCAGAATTCTGATAAGCTATGGCCTCAATACCTCGAATTTGAATTCACATAATGTTCTCTGTTTAGTAATTCATATGTTTCTGATGTCCTTTCTTAGAAGCAAGATCACCTTCAAGATGAAGAGGAAAGAAAGAGCTCCTGGGTTAGTCAGGAGCGACAGAAAACACTGGACAGACTTCGTACATTTAAACAGGTAATGGAAGTAATGTACTTTTTTTTCCACCAGGATGTAGCATTTATTTCTAAATATAAACTTCAGTTATATTCTGGCAATGTCTTGAGAGAGATCTGTTGCACCTCTTTAAATATTTCAGAGCATTCATTTGGAGAATGGATATTATAATTCTGTAGGCTAAGATTTAAGGGGAAATAAGGCATAGCATTGGATAAAGTTCTTCGGATGTATTGCAGCATAGTTCTGTGCTGAACCTCAATAGTCTGTTTTTCTCCTGTTAGTTAATATTTGCAGGAAAAAATTTAGAAACTGAAACAAGGTCTTTGCTTATATAGAAATTGGATTGGATCATATTACTTGTTGTTTGCATGACAATAACACTTAAAAGTCCCTATCTAAAAGAGCTTACAACTGATAACCAGAGAAGAGAAAACAGATTGATTGCAGGCAGGACTACAAGGAAATGACAATATTAACCCCTTTTAATTAGGGATGGAAAATAGCAGTTAAACAGTTAACTGGTTAAACAAAAAATGTTTAACCGGTTAATCATGGTCCTGCAGCAGGGAGGGGGGCTGCCTGGCTTGGGGCCAGGATCTTCCTGCCCCCTTCCAGGAATTGGGGCTGCCACTGCAGTGGCTAGCGAGGGGTCGGGGATGCCAGTGCAGCTGGGACTTGAGCTGTGGACCATCTGGGGTGCAGGGCTGGGGCTGTCACCTAATGGTTACCCAGTAAACCTTTACATCCCTACTTTTAATAGTTGCTGGCTTAAGTAGGAACGAGTAATGAAATTGGAGAATTTCCATTATTAGTAACATTCTTGTTTAGTAGTGATTACAAAAAATGAAGTTTTTTTCCATCCAAATTGCTTGCCAGGGCTACTTGTCACTTAGAGCTTCTATACATTAGAGTAATTTCACACACTGAATCAATAAGGTATTTATCAAATTGTTAATGGTTACATTATGTATATTTTATCCATATAGATAGGATTGTGTACCTTTGTAAAAAATATTATGTAATATGTTTTTTAAAAATACATACTGGGCCCATTTTTCAAAAGCAGTCTTTAGTTTCACCTTTAGTAGCTTGTCTAAACAGATACAATTTTCAGGGACATAAACTTCAGGGATAGGGCAAATGTAGAAGCCACAGATAATAAGACCACTTTAAAAGCTCATCTTTGACAGAAAAGTCTAGTGTTTGAAGTGCCAGTAGAAGAAAACTACTGAAAAGTGTTGAAGATCTTCTTGTTGTCTGGGTTAGTAGGATAGTGCTGCATTTGGCAAGCTGCAGTGCAACTCGCTGGCCTATTTTATGTGGGAGGAGAAGGAAGATTTTACTTTTATTTTCCAGGAAGGAAACATTTAGATCAAGTGTCTGGCTCTTGAGGAAATATGATTTCTATCTATTTGCATCCAAGTTGACCTAATCGGAAAGATTGAATTGACCAAGAGTCACAGTGAGACAATGGATTTAGAACCTAGGATCTTTCTGTCATTCTAGTCTTTATTGTAGCCTGTAGTTACGTAAAGAGGAGAGAAGATGACTGGACTAATCTAGTTGTGAAGCATTTATAAATTTCTGAGGAATGTGCTCATCTGTCACCTTCTGTCAAGAGTAAGGGTAGGAGGAGGTGGTGGTTTGCAGTATGTTCAAGATACAATCTGGGAATGATAGTCCATGCTTGCAAAACTTTAAATGAGTGTCACACTCTATAAATATGTCATGGTACGCTAGTGTGCTGCCATATGCTGGCTAATTTTATTGGAATATTTTGTTTGAAAATGAGTGATTCCAGTCCAATACATTAGCAAAGTAAAGAACAAAAATATAAAAATGAGTTTCCTTGTCACAAAGGCAAAATCACTGATCAAATGTCCTATAGTTTCTAATATAGCATATTGCATACACTTATCTAATTTTAAATAACTTGTTTTATTTTAGCGGTATCCTGGGCAAGTAATACTTAAATCAACCAGACTGCGACTGGCTCATGCAAAAAGTGGTAGTATACCCACCTCACTGTCCTGTGTAGATCAACTTCAAACTCTACCAGTAACCACGCTTATCCAAAAGAAAACCAAAGAGGTGGAATCAGGAAAAATAATCCAGCCTTTACAAAGCCAGGATGCCAGAGGTTTAGAACAACTTGAAAATAGTTCATTATCTCCCAGTGGCACTACCTCTGAACAGTCCCATCATACTCCTCCTCCACTTCTTGCCAGTAATGAGCTTCACCCAGATACTGTTACTATAGTTCCACTCCCTCCTCCTTTGCCTCCACCACCACCACCACCGCCACCTCTGCCCATCAAGGAAGATTCTACTGAATCCTTAGAGAAAAGTGACAGCCCTGTTAAACAGGAGAGTGAAGATAAGGGAGTCCCACAGTCTACTACTGTACTACCATCAACTGTCCCATCAGCACACCTTTTTGATAGCAATCAGTTAGTCAGTGCCAAGAAGAAACTTAAGAAGACCGATCTAGAAGGTTTACAAAGGAGAAGAGGTAATATTTTTATTTATTTAAACATAACGCTAAGGAATATACTCCTAGTAATTTTGTTTCCCTCTTTTTTTTAATTGCTGTATAGAAAAGGGTGTTCTAGTGCCCTCAGCTGAAAAATATGAACTTAGGTGGTAAGGAATTTGTACTGTAGTGTATGCTATTGATTCAGTTGTATCGGACATCATATAAACTGGTATATGGCAAAGGTCAATGTTGCTGTTAAATGGATACTTTTAATTTTTTTCTGCAGTCCACAAAACAATTGTCTACTGTTATAAGCACACAAAGGTCCTGGTCCTGCAAGGAGGACTGTGTATGTAGACCTATGCACTTGTGCAGCTTCCTATTTAAGTCAGCAGTTCCCCAGAACTCTGCCTGTATTTGGGGTCTAATCTACCCGTGAGTTTCTAGGTGGGAAGATGCTTACTTTCTAGAATTCTGTTTTACGTTTATTATAGGGATTGTAAAATTTGTGTCAAATGAAGAGTATAATTACACTTATATAGTATTAATTTGGAATAACAATGCTTCAGCAACTTATTATGTAAATTTATGTAACTCGGTTTAAATCACTTTTTAGTTTTTGGCAAAACTTCTTTTGCCCTGAAATTACTAGTGGTCAGCTTGAAACTAGAAAGGAAAAGTTTGGAACAATTTAAGAATGTTAGTCAAGCTTAAAGCATTTTTGTCAATGTTTATAAAATATCTTCAATATTTTGATGCATTCAGAATGCTTGGCACACAAAGTAACAAATGTGTATACATATACGATCAGTTCTTCTAAGTTAACTTTAAACCTGTTTCAGCTACTTTTGGTCAAACTGGGGGAGCATTATTTAGGGATGTTAGATATTGTGTAATTGAATAGTCATGTAACCACATGAAATTTTAGCCATTACCTCAACGGTCCCCAGAGGAGGGGCTGGCAGCCAGTGCATTCCTGACCCCACTCCCAGCAAGCTGCCTGCCACCCTGGGTCTTTATCACAGGCAGCAGTGCAGGGTGGCATGTAGGAGCTGGTCTGCTAGGGGAGCCAGTGGAAAAACTAGCTCCCTGTGCAGACCAGCTGTGTGCTGCCCTGTGCTGCTGCCTCTGTAATAGAGGCAGAAGCACGGGGTGGCAAAAGCCTGTGGGGACAACGTCTGAGCTCCCTGCGTACAGGGGCTGCTGCTGGGTACAAGTTGGACCCACCATGGACAAAGGCTGCTCCATAGGATGCAGAGCAGCCTCTGTCCACAGGAAGCTCGGACCCCCGGGGACAGGGGTTTGCTTCACACCAGCCTCCCCTGCAACCCCCCTGCACTGCTGCCTCTGATAGAGGCAGCAGTGCGGAGTGGGCTAGGCGGCACATAGCTGGTGCTGGGGGGAACCAGCTTTTAAGCTGGCTCTCCCCATCACTGGTTCCTGCCTGCCCTCCTCCGTGCTGCAGCAAGGCAGGACAGGTGAGTCCGCAGAAACTCTTACATGTAGAGGGCTGGCTTGAAAAGCTGGTTCCCTGCATATATTGGTTCCAGTCAGCCTCCCTCACCCTCCACGCTGCTGCCTCTGTAGCAGAGGCAATAGGGTGGGGGAGGGGGAGGGGGGAGGTGGATCTGCTGCTCATGGGGAGCTGGCTTTTAAGCTAGCTCCTCATGGGCACTGTCTCCTGCTCTCTTCCGCTGCCTTCTGTCTGATACAGGGTTATCAGTTAATCATGTAATCTACATGCTGACATCTCTAGCTTTACTGCATTTCTTAGAGACATTTATGGCCAGATTGAGGGGCAGATGACTGGTGGGGTGCTGTTTTTTTGTTAGTGATAAATTGAAAGATAGAATGATTGAAGTAAAATGTTTCAGATGTTCTGTTTGTGGATTCATTTTTCACTAACCACCTAGAATGTCCCAAACATTAGTAGAATCTCATGGAACTTTGCAGGCTTCCTGAGAGCTGTTTTCCTTGAACTATCTAGAATATTGTCAGTCTTGCCCCTGTGGGTACTAAAGGGGTGAAGCATCACCAGTCATTGAGATATAAGAATGAAGTGAAGTGAAAGTCCCACTGCAGTATTGTGAGCCTTGTTTTACAGTGTAATTGTGAAAGAGTACTTGTGTTTTAAGACTTGAAGAGGGTAAGTAGGAATTAATAAAGGACATATTTAGTGAGATGCCAGAGACATCTATGAAACAATATAAAAGAAAGTTACTTTTTTGCCATGCTTATCAAGTGATTTTTGATGACTTTGAGACTGACCAACAGCCTCCCTGGTTTGAGCAACCATGGTACCAATCACTGGGTTCCTTCCCATCATAGTGGCCATACTGGGACTCTTGGGCCAAATGCAGGGGTGGCCAACCTGCAGCTCATGAGCTGCATGCGGCTCTTCCCCCCCCCAAGAAGTGCGGCTTGCGCAGCCACCCCTGCATGCTCTTCCCTCCCCCCTGCCGCCCCCCACAATGGCCCCACGCTCCTCTTACTGGCGCTGCCCCCAAGATGAACACCACGCTGATACTACCTCCAGGGACAACAAAGGCTTCCTGTGGGGTGGCTGGGGGGGAGTTCTGCAGCTACACGGGAAGTACGCGGGCTGCTCTCCCCCACCAGCCAGCACAGTACCTAAAATGCTAGTCTGTTGCATGCTGCGGACTTTGTTCCCCTGCTGCCTTCCTGCGTGCGGGGGAGGGGGTGAGGGTCTGGGACTGCGCTGCTCCAGTGGCGCGTGCTGCCTGAGAATTTGGGGCTGGCATGGTCTGGGACTCCCGCTCCCCCCGCGCAGGAAGGCAGCAGGGGAATAAAGTCCCCAGAGCACTGGCTCCAGCTACTTGGTCAGCGTGTGCTGCTGTGGGGAGCAAAGGGGCAAGGTGCGCAGTGCCCGAGCATTTGTTGCTGGCGCAGTCAGGGACTCGCCCTACCCCCAGTGCAGGAAGGCATCATGTGTGTGACGGACCAGCGTTTCACATACTGCGCTGCTGTTTGGGGGATGAGAGAACAGCTCATGCACTTCCTGGGCCTTAGTGCACAGCTGCAGGATTCCCTTCCCCCCACCCAGACCCTCCGCAAGTACCATGCCCCAGCACCCACTGGCACCCTATTGTCTGCCCCAGGCCCCTGCCTGAGCGGCCACATTAGTGAGGCTTGGGGGGTTTTGGAGTGGTTGTTTTTTTGCATCTCACTTGTGTGGCCCTGACTGACTTTTGTGGGTCAGGCATCCTGACTCAAAACAGGTTCCCTGCCCCTCTCATAAATAAAGACAATGCTGAAACATTTTGTGTTTGACATAATATTTTATTTAAAACTGAAGCCAGGCCAATTGGGGCCAAGCCCCAATCTGGCCACAGCATCAGAACACTCCTGCACACACACACCCACACTCCAAACCTGAGTCTATCATACACTGGAACCCCCAGTCCTGAGCCTCTCACATCTCCAAACTGCTGCACCCCCAGTCTTCTGCCACAACATTCCTGCACCATCCACACACTGCAGATCTGTGTCCTGAGCCCATCATACTCCCAGCCTCCTTGCCTTGAGCCCCTCATACACCCCAGCCCAAACACCTGCACCCTCACAGCCACAAGACTGCAGCCCAACCCTCTCCCTGACCCCAACATTCTCCAGCCTGGAGCCCCCTCCCTGAGCCAGCATCCTCTTCTCTACTTCCTCCTGCACTCAAATTCCCTCCCAGAGCTTGCACCTCTCACCCCTTCCCAGTGCTTTTTTTGTGATGGTATGTCCCGTGATGGTGTACTGGCACCTATTTTCCCCCCCTGTGGCTTTTTTTCCTTTTTCCTCAACAACTCCTCCCCCCTGCCCAGTATGTGGCTTTTCACACACTATCCACCACTGTTTTGGCTCTTCGTCTCTAACGGGTTGGCCACTCCAGGCCTAATAGGTTTGAGCCTACCAGCAGCTGAGGAAGTAGCTTCTTCAGCTGCTGCCTCAAGGGCCTGTGAACACCATGAGCATGCAAGAGAAGAACCAGAGACCAAAGTTGAGGAGGAAGTCACTCTACAAGCCCACTTCCTGTCACTGTCATCAGAAGAGATGTGATGCCCCCCTGCCAACTATGGTAGATGACAAAGTATTCCTAGACTGGGCACAGAGAGCAGCAACTGCACTATTTTTACCTAAGCTGCTTCCTGAAGGAGGTCCAAATGACTGCAGAACAACTCCTTTTGAAGGGATGAAATTATTTGTCAGTAAGACCAATGTCTCCACCTCTTCTAGAGTAGCCCTTCTATTAAACAGGCTCTACTGGACCCTACCAAGGCAATATGGCAGACCCCCATATTTGTTTGAACAACTTGCAAGTGGGGAGACAAGAAATAGTGTGCTACTAGAAGACACAGAATTTCTGTTCACATCTACCTCCCAATTCAGTCATTGTAGACAGAGTTAATTCTAAGGGCCACCAAGATCCAGTTTAAGTTCACCCTTTATGACTGCATGTGGAAGCACCTAGACTTTTTTGGCCGGAAGGCTTACTTTGCAGTCAGGCTACAGTTCAGAGTGGAAAACTATCAAGCCTTGTTGTCTAAATATGACTATTAAAACAATGCTAAGTTTAATTATTTTATTGAACAGCTCTCCATTTCTCATAAGGAGCCATTTAAGGCCTTAGTGAGCACCAAGTGGTGACTAAAACATCTCTTCAGTTTGCACACATTCTCTTTCAACCACCATTGTGATGAGATGGGTCTTGTGGCTTTATCTATCCTGCTTCCCAAAGGATGCCCAAATGACTACAGAAAACCACCTTTTGAAGGGATTATTTGTTAGTAAGACCAGTGCCTCCCTCCATGCTAAAAAAATGCAAGGGCCACTTTTCAGTCCCTCAGGATATGTACACCTGGGTGCAAAAGGAGATATAGACATCAGCCATCTTTCAAGCCTCTTCATCACAATACTCTTGAGTATTCATTTCACTGATCATATGAACCTAGAGGAAGGAAGAAGCCCACCTTTCTCACATAAATAAAGGTGGGAGCTCAACAAGTTTCCTCTCAACTCTTCACTTTGAAGAGCCAGTTTTGAAGGGTTGGTTGAGATGCCTGTAGAACACTTGACTCACTGCTGCATCATGATGGAAAACCCCACCCATTCCTTTGAAATTCCATTCTATAGCACCTGGGAATGGATTAACTGTAACAAATAAGTGCGGAAGATCTGGGATGCATACACCATCCGTTTCTGTTCCTTCCTCCCTGCATGATGGACTGTAAATTTGACATGAAGCACAAAGCCTGGCAAACCAGATCACTGATTTCAAATTTCTGGTCTTGTTTGTCATTTGGCAGGGTATTCTGTTCCAAGTAGATATTGAAAGCAAGGCATTACAGACTCAGTGGACATTGGGACTGCTACTATCTTGCTAATACCTTGAAAAGCTGCCTTGAGTTTTTTGTGGCCTGCAGAAACAACGAATTTGAAGATGTCATCACGACTGACAAAGAAATGGTGGAAAATTTTAAGAGTTGAGCCTGTCTTCAAGGAAATTCATATTTATGAGAAGAGACAGGTTACAAGGGCAAAGATAAGGTGATGGTAAGCTCATGGAAAAAAATTCAAGAGGGAGGTTATTTACTCACTCAATACTGCTTAAGTGTCCATCGGAGAAAGGTTTGAACAAGAAAAGCCCCACAAAAAGATCTGGTTTTTTTAATATGATTTTTACTAAGATGCTAGTGGACAGGAAAACACTCTTGAACAATGTTATGCACCTTCACCAGATGCTGACACATGGGGAATGTTTGGATGTCAGTGATAAAGGCCTGTGTGTCAAATTGGACAAGATCTGTCACATATTTTGCAGCAGAGTAAGCATTCTGCACTCCAAGTTCTCCAGAACTTCTCTTCCAGTCAGGTTATGGATAACAGACCCCCAACAGCCTCTGAAATCACAAAACCCACTATGGATCACATATGACCATCTTGTGTGTCTAGATCTGACCAGGGAATGATGGGACCTCATATACCATTCCAAACAAGCATGTCATTACTGAATCAATAAGCCACTGTATTTTCACCTCCCATATAGATTTTGGATTGCACTGGAGCACATCTGAACAAAACAAGAAAGGGGCCACTACTCTTAATGCACAAGTACAAAATCAAAGACTTCCTTTTTCTGACTGCAAAGAGACCATGCCAACCATTGAACACAACATTAATAGTGCCCCAGATATGGGTTGAAAGTGAACTGGATGATATTTACAATCGCTGTGCCAGAGAAGGCCTTGAAATAGCATATGTACTAAGGATGTGAAAGGTTAACCAGTGGGGGCTGGAGCAGCTTCTTGCTTGCTGTGAGCAGGGGGCTACACCTGCCCTGCGGGGCCTGCTACAGACGGGGGCTGATCTAGGTGTCCAGAAATGCTCCTGCCCCCACTGCAGCTGCGCTCGGATATTTTGAGTGCTCCAGCCCAGATGGCTTGGAGTACTCTTCCTTAATTAAGAACATAAGAAGGGCCATATTGGGTCAAATCAAAGGTCCATCCAGCCCACTATCCTGTCTGCCACAGTGGCCAATGCCAGATGTCCCCGAGGGAGTGAATTGAACAGGTAATGATCAATTGATCTCTCTCCTGCCATCCATCTCCATCCTCTGACAGAGGCTAGGGACACCATTCCTTACCCGTACTGGCTAATAGCCATTTATGGACTTTACCTCCATGAATTTATCTAGTTCTCTTTTAAACTCTGTTATAGTCTTCGCCTTCACAACCTCCTCAGGCAAGGAGTTCCACAGATTGACTATGCACTGTGTGAAGAAGAACTTCCTTTTATTTGTTTTAAACCTGCTGCCTATTAGTTTCATTTGGTGGCCCCTAGTTCTTATATTATGGGAACAAGTAAATAATTTTCCTTATTCACTTTCTCCATACCACTCATGATTCTATATACCTCTATCATATCCCTCCTTGGTTTCCTCTTTTCCAAGCTGAGAAGTCCCAGTCTCTTTAATCTCTCCTCATATGGGACCTGTTCCAAACCCCTAATCATTTTAGTTGCCCATCTCTGAACCTTTTCTAATGCCAATTTACCTTTTCTGAGATGGAGACCACATCTGTACGCAGTATTCCAGATGTGGGTGTACCATATATTTATATAAGGGCAATAAGATATTCTCTGTCTGATTCTGTCCCTTTTTTAATGATTCCTAACATCCTGTTTGCTTTTTTGACTGCTGCTGCACACGGAGTGGACATCTTCAGAGAACTATCCACAATGACTCCCAAGATCTGTTTCCTGATTAGTTGTAGCTAAATTAGTCCCCTCCATATTATATGTATAGTTGGGGTTATTTTTTTCCAATGTGCATTACTTTACATTTATCCACATTAAATTTCGTTTGCCATTTTGTTGCCCAGTCACTTAGTTTGGTGAGATCTTTTTGAAGTTCTTCACAGTCTGCTTTGGTCTTAACTACCTTGAGCAGTTTAGTATCGTCTGCAAACTTTGCCACCTCACTGTTTACCCCTTTTTCCAGATCATTTATGAATATGTTGAATAGGATTGGCCCTAGGACTGACCCTTGGGGAACACCACTAGTTACCCCTCTCCATTCTGAAAATTTACCATTTATTCCTACCCTTTGTTTCCTGTCTTTTAACCAGTTCTCAGTCCATGAAAGGATCTTCCCTCTTATCCCATGACAACTTAATTTACGTAAGAGCCTTTGGTGAGGGACCTTGTCAAAGGCTTTCTGGAAATCTAAGTCCACTATATCTACTGGATCCCCCTTGTCCACACCTTCATTAACCCCTTGATCCCTAATAGATTAGTAAGGCATGATTTCCCTTTACAGAAACCATGTTGACTTTTGCCCAGCTGGTTTACTGGTTAAACTTCATGTTTATCCAAAACCCAGAAAGGATGGGTGAAATTCACAAATGGGTAAAAAAGGTTGTTTTAAAAATATAAACTTAGGAGAAATGGGGAGAAATTCTCCAGTATGGATAAATGAACATGCAGGTGCATAGCTAGTTCTCGTTGTATTCAGAATACTATGCTGGGCTTTTTATTTTGTTTTTGACGCCTGAATTCAGGACTCTTAGTCTGTAGCTCTGCAAAACCAAAATGCATTTGAAATACTAGTTTGTTTCACAGGGGAATAAAGCTGCAGGTAGACTGTAAAGGCCCCTTACTCTGTGCCTTAAAACTCAATTGCTCTGCTTGCAGTAAGTATTTGAGAAGGTTTGAGTAGCCTGGGGATAATTCTATGCAAATCCACTGGCCCATATGCCACCTTTCAGATTGGAGGTGAGGGAAAATATGAAGCTGCAGCTGACCACATCTGCTACTCCCTGATGGCTTGTAGTAGAAGACAAGCAGTGGACATAAACCAGCTTGTCCTAAAAATTCAGTTTCTCTTTTGGTATTTTCATTAGACAGAGTATGCAGTCCAGGCAGTTATGTGCTCACTATTGTCGTTTCAGCCACAAGAAATAGACATCATAATGTATTTTGATTTTTGTAACTGATTCTCGCAGGCAGGAAAACTTACCTACCAAAGTAGCCATTCTTTATACCATATGCTGATGTTACTTGGTTTTCAGGAGTCAGTGTTCACAGTACAAATATAATTTCTTTCTTCCAATAGAGGAAAATATATTTGAAGATAAAAACAGCATTAGAAAATAGAGCTTACCAACAGTTATCATAGGGCAGTATCTTATTGTTTTCCCTCTATTTTGAATGCAAAATTGCTGTGGTAACCAGCTTTAGTCATATTGGAAATAAAAATGAAGCTGTTGAAATGTGTAAATATATTAAATGTAAGACTAACTCAGTGTTTTGCTTCACTGCAGTGAGTTCCCCAATGGATGAGGTGCTGGCTTCCTTGAAGCGTGGTAGTTTTCATCTAAGAAAGGTTGAACAGAGAAATCTCCCTCCTTTCCCTGATGAAGATGACAGCAATAATATCTTGGCACAGATAAGAAAAGGGGTGAAACTGAAGAAAGTACAGAAGGATGTTCTGAGAGAGTCTTTTACAATTCTGCCTGACACTGACCCCTTAACACGGAGCATCCATGAAGCACTGCGGAGGATTAAGGAGGCATCACCTGAATCAGAAGATGAAGAGGAGAGTTTGCCTTGCACAGACTGGGAAAGTTAACCTGTAAAGTTCCTACATTTTAAATTTGATGCTTTTTAGGAATACCTGCTAAGCTTGGGTTAGAAAGTCTAGTAGACTTTAAATTGTGCCTAAATCATTCTAAAATTGGTTAAAACGTGCACATGCACAAGCTGAGAATCATGCACGTTTAACTGGGAGTTAATTAAGCTTATAATAAGGGAAACTTTTTTCTGGGCTGTTGCTTTTGTGAACATTTTTTGCTGAACCAGTGATAAAAATTATCCTCACAGAAAACTTACATTTCAGTAAATTGAAGAGACTGCACCTTGTAAGATTGAAAAGGGATTTCAGAAATAACAACAAAATCACTCGTGAATATATCCCAGTATTTTCTAATATGTAAAAATCCGGTGTTTCCTGCTTGAGGCTAAATAATTACAAGTAAAAAAAAATTAGATCTGACTACTAAGCATATGAAGTTGTTGGTTACCCTGGGTGGCTGGCTTTTTGATAGATTCCTAAACCATAAACCAGTATAATTTAGACTTTTACTGTTAATAAAATATTCCACAAATTTACAGGTATTGTAGTTAGATACAATACAAATACTGACTTAAGATGGCTAGTTTCCGTAAATTCAGATCAGAACATGCAGAAATAGCCAAAGGACCTAAGTTTTCAACATTAAGATGGTGTGGTAACCTAAAGACATGGATTCTTTTGTGTTGCTCCTATGAACTGGACTGAGTGTGTTGTATTTTTGCAGCAGATCTGCTGATGGGAGATGGTCATATTTAAATATAAAGAAAAGGTTAAAATAAACATACTTGTAAGTAAATTGGTAAATCCAAATCAAAGAGAAGGGTACACGGGTCTCTAAAGAAATTATTTCAAAAACTTGTTTAAAATGGACACTCAGAAGATTTATAATTGGTTAAAGGAAATAAATAATACATATTACATTCAACCCACATATTGTGGTAGCAAAAATACCCAATCTGTGTATTAAATATTAAGCAGTAATGCATTACTATGTATTGAGAACTTTTCAGACACTGCCACAGCTGGGAAACAACATTTAGTACAAGTACCACAGCTATTATAAAGCAAAACAACCTATAGTATTTTACTGTGATTACAAGTTTATTAAATTAAAGCCATTAAATAAATTGTACTGTCAATTTAATATCCTATTCTAAATTTTAGAAAAACAGTCAGTTACCTTCTTCCCTTCTCATTGGTAGAGTTTGCACGAGACAGAGACACGTACTAATTGATCACATTTGTTTGTTTTTACTGTATTTCTCCTGATCTAGCTTTATTGATAAAAAGTGTGAAACCATTTTAACCCAGAGGTGCAGATATACTTGCATGCTGGTGGAATGCCTAGTCAAAAGCTGGTATCATCTGAAGGGCTATCTTGCTCTCACTACAGTTGTTAGTCACTCAATCTGGCACCTGCCTTAAAACTATCATTCAGTTCACGATTGCAGGTTTCGGTTCCTCAAGATTTCCCATGACCATTAATAAAAAAGGTGTGAGGTTGAATTACTTTTTTTAGTGTGTTTATTCTTCTGTTTCTCACCTAGACATTTCACCAAACATATTTTATGATTGGGCTTTATATAGTAGTTTTGTAAGCCTAATTGTGTCTTTTGAAATCCCCCCCCCCCCCATTTTTTTCCCTCTTGGGACGAATACCCTTTGATAAACAGGTTAATGTAAACTGCTTCCCTCAAAATCTTTTTTTTTTTTTTTAATTTGAGGTATTGATAGGGTACCAGTTGTCATCTTTTGTAGGCCAATGTTATCTGAACCTTAAATACTCTCACAATGAGACTGTATTTTATGATCTTTTTCCCTTGTTAAGGACACAGTCCTGACATAGATTTTTTTTAACTTCTATTGAAAGTAGTAAGTTGAAGATGCAGAATAGTTTGGAATTTAGACTCCAGATTTACACACCATTTGGTATTTTGCATTTTACTCCCCACGACACTCTGACCATAAAAATAATTGAGGGATATAATTGTATAACATTTTTTGGATAGATTTGTAATGGCTGGTGTTTAGAGTAGGGATGTTAGATTAACTAATTAATGGATAAGCATCACCATAACTGTTAACAGTTAACTGATTAACTGGGATTTTACATCCCTAGTTTAAAAAAAATTATAAAAGCTATGCTATGCTGAGGAATTGTATAAAACAATCTTATTGCAAGAGCAATAGACAGAAAGATGTTTAAGCCATTCTATTGAATTACTGTTTTCACAGACATGACCCTACTTTATGAATGTATAAATTAACAGAATTAATTGCACAGTACTTTAAATAATGGTCTACTGCAGAAATTTCAGAGCATGTTTTCCAGTACAAGAAAATTAGTTTAATGCCAAGACCTGTAAAAGAATGACATTATTGATTAAAATTACATTTCTGGGGCAAAATGCATTACAGAAAGGTATTTTATACTGTTAATGGGCATACATTGTATACTTACAGATATTATCAAACCATTATCTTCACTTAAATCTGCATAAACTAAATCTTACACATTAATTCCTCAAGCTTGAAGGCTAAATCAGATAGTTTGTTTGAGATACAGAAAGTATCTTTAAATTAATCCAGTTCATGGTTTTTAAAAAAGGAATTAACTAAAAGGGAGAAAAATGAGTAAATGACTACAAGTTTAAGGGATCTCCCTTTATATCTGTGGTCTGAGGGCAATACAATTTAAAAAACTTGACCATGACTAAGAAAATTTGGTAAATTGGAATAAAATCTAAGCTGACTCAGTAGAAAGATGTCCCTTTAGTTGATTTTGAATGCGTCTCCTCCTTAGAAGAATAATGGCAAAACTGTGAATACTTGTTTCCTGGAAAATTGATAATTTAGGTTTTTTTGGGGGGAGGGGGGAAGGGAAGTATAGTGGATGTGTATCAATGGGTTTTTTTTATTTGTTTAATTTTGATGGGAAACTAACATTTATACAAGTTTTTAAAGAAGGCATGCAAATTGTAAAACTGAAACTTGAAAGTGGAATTTATAGTAGTTTTAAAATATAGTATTCACCTAAAGACTAATTCATTTTGAGGGGAGTTGAAATTTCCATTTCTCATTTATTAATTTTTTGTCTTCCAATAAGACTTAGTCACAAACTTTCTTTAAAAAAAATTTCCCTTCTTGCACTTTCTGAAGCACTTATATATACTTCCTTGCATGAAGTGTAATCCTCTGTTAATTTTATGGTTATGCCATAATGAAAGGCAAAAGTGGCATCCATTCACTATTTTAAGCATTTTAGCAACTCTTGTATACTTTAAGAACTTACTTTAGAAGTTCTATAGATGAAATTGTAATGTGAAAAATAGTTATAAATACATAGAATTAAACAACACATGAAAAATTAAATCTGGTCTGTCATAGTGGTTCTACTTGGTATGAGAATTAGCTTTCAAAATTAAAATTGTTTTATTGCTTCATAATATTTTTCCATTGACGTCTTCCCTAAATTTCTAAATCTCACAAGACAATACTTGAGTCAGTTTCATGCATTTGAATCGTAGTGATGCAGAAGATGCAGTGGCACTCAGAAAATTGTTGATGCTCAGAAAATAGCCAGCTGGGCATTTCATTTTATGATTGAACAGTCTCTGTTAAAGAAAAACTTAAAAACCAACTAATTCTAGCAGCGCCTTAAAGACTAACAAAACATGTATAATGAGCTTTCATGGGCACAATACACTTCCTCAGATGAGTGGAGTTATTAAAGGTCCAGTTCCAAAATAAATAAGCGATGGGGGTGGGGGGAAAGGAAGAGGAGGGGGGAAAGGGGGCGGGGAGTCCATTAGAGTGTTCATGTTACATGAAACAGAAGTTTGTAATGACTTCAGCCAAATACTGTAATAAAATAAGGCCCCAGATTCTCAACAGAGACCAAGGAATGCAGTCAACTCAGGGAAAGGGTAACTTTTTTTTCCTGGCCTACTGTCATCTTGTGCCAGTGCAATCTCCCTATTGTTACTCTAACTTGTGTTGGCTGCTAACAACACCTACAGGGCACAGTGAAGGCTGGCCTGGCTATACCCCACACACCGGTTGTTGGGATTGGTAGGAGCCACTATGATGGCTCTAAAACACAGAGATTAGGTCAGGGTTTAAAAATGCTGCTTAATGTATTTAAATGGAGAGGATTTGCACAGTTGAGATTTAAATTGTTTTTCAGTTATTCTTTGTTTGCTTTTTTTTTTTAACATAGGTGATAGCAGCCACTGAAGTAAGGAAAAACACAACAAAAAGTACCCCACAGTAGGAGATCAATCTTCCTCTTCATTTCAGAAAATTCAAATCCAGCGATTTTCACCATCAACTGCATAGTAGAAAAAGGTTTCTTTTGGCAAATGATTATGTGGAAAAAACATAACATTGATTTTGTTTTTCAGTTATTTTTTTATTCATTCCACAAGTGCAAGGTTGGACAAAAAGCTAAGTTGCTTAGATATACATTTAATAACTGTAATGAGAAATGGCTCTTCAGGATGTTTTTCCAATTCTTTAAGCACTTTTTACATTTGTGTTAGTGGCCAGTTAAGTGATGGAACATTTCAAGTGGGAAGAATGCTGCAGTGATAAAGTTACTGGGGGATATAGTTAGAACATCAGGACAGCTATGAAACCTACTCTTCAGTGCACTGAAAATATCATCTGCTTGAAAGAAATTTAATGGTTGTACCACAATGGCTAAAATTGCAATAGAGATACAACTAAGTTCTCTTTAGTAGTTCTTCTCACTGCGAAGAAATGTGTACTTGTATGAAAAATAACACATGACTGTGCAGTCTAAGGACCATAACAGAATACATGTATTTAAGGATGTATGTGTTTACAACATAGTACACTTAACATGGCATATTATAGCACCTTTTTAGAAGGTCATATATAATCTTAAATCCTACATTTTACAAGATTTTCCATGTTTTTTAAACAGTAGTATTTAGGTGAGATGAACTGAAGTAATCATTATACCATACATACAAATTTGTGATAAGAAGCAATATTTTGTAATTTAATAATACTTAAAATTGTTTTGTTAGCTTGAACTGTTCTTGTTTGTTTACTGTGAGCAATCTTTTCTTTCTTATTTAAAGATTCTTTAAAGAGATTGCAGGACTTAAACACATTAACACTAGTTACAAAAGTTATGCTTCTCTGTTAGTAGTTAGTATTTCCTTTAGTGGCTATAAAAAATTATACATCATACCTGTTCATCTGAAAACTACACTTGTTGGCTGTATGTGGTTCTAAAGGAGGAGGGTACAGTCTTCAGTACAGGAAGAACTTAAAGAAATAATCTTAAATTGCATGACTAATAGCTGCAGGCAGCTAGTTTTATAATGCCAGCGTACTTAAAGGTACATCTTACACAGGTTTAAGTAATCTTGTATCATGTTCAAAGCTCTTTATAATGTATATTATTTGACACTCCAGTTATATGAAAGTCTCAACCAGTGTTTGTTTTATTAAATATATACTGAGACCCACTTTAACCCTTTTCCTTTATAAAATTTTTATTACTCATTTTAAGAAGGATTTATTTTCATTTAGAAGCAGATTAATGAATTGCAACTGTTGTGTAATGGAGCACATAGTCTCAACTTTTATAACAGTTCTTTTAAAATAGTTGAGAGCAAGAATACCTGTCTTGGCAATAGGTGTTATTACCAGAATGAACCTCAGATCTTGGAAACTGTTCTGCAATTATTGTCTGAAATAATAAAGATCTCTCATGTTTTGAAAGATAATTTGCCACTCTGTACTTGACACTAATAGGCATTCTTCTTGAGCTTTTTGCCTTTAGTGATTCATTTTCAAAATGAATGTTTATAAGCAACATTTTTCAGCGATACCACCAGTTCTGTACCTGGTATCTGCTTTCAGGGCATCATTTTATGTGGACATAGCATCAGTTCTATGACATATCTATCATTAACTTGTCAAGGACCTAACAGTTCAAGTTTATTCCCAAATTACGTCTATGTTTTTACATTTATCATTTCAAAATTTACTATGTGTAATCATTTAGCATAGATAATAAATGTAAGTAGTTTGTGTGCCTTTGGTGTATGTACGGGCATCAGTACAAATGGGGTCCAGTGTATGAATTTTTAGCTATAGTATAAAACACATATTTGCAAGTTAGGATATTATATGAGTGTTAGACCAACAACAAAGTGACATCAAATATGTCCAGTTTTTCTTGCTTTAAGAAACAAAAGTGTACAGGGTGCATATAACACTGGCAAAACTTGAGTTGAGAGAAACTGTACTTTGAAAACAGGAATAATGTTCCTGCCCCTTGCACTAAACTTATCCACAAATTTATCTTTATATAGGGATCTGTTTAAATAGCTCTGCATTGTGCTGTACTATAGTTCTCAGATTTATCTACATATTTGTCAACTTTGCCTTGAAAACTTGTTCATGATTAAAAATAAACCTGTCCTTGCTACATTTATACTTAGTTAAAATATTCGATACCTGACTGACTTTGTATGCATTATTTATTCATAGGAATATCATATTTTATGTACATACACCCAAAAGAGAGCTGCTATGCTGAGCATAACAGTTTATATCAAATTCAAACTCCAACTTTAAAGTAGTCACTGGATGTCACCTTTTCAAACAATTCTCCAATTTAAGATATAAAAATTATTCACGTAGTAATTTATAACTCCATGCATAAAAACACTTCCAAGGCTTTTCTATGCGGATTTATACTGGTATTGCAATAGAAGTTATATGGGGAAAGTCCAATTACTTTCACAAGAGTTACAGAAATTTTATCAATCCTTGCTACTTTGGCACATCTGTAATTGACAGCAGGTTTATTGAACAACTCTACTTGAGAGACCATGACAAACATCACTATGGAGATGGCATTTATACTTACATGTATGCAAGAGGGGAAAAAAAGTTTGCACATAAAATGATCACTAGAAATTGTCAGTATTTGCTCTTCATGGTTGCAGTTCATCAACAGTGCATGCTATATGCCAGGAAAACTTGCTTGTTTATTCAATAGAACGGTTAGGGAAAAGTCCACTGAAGTAATTGGAATTTCCCAATCTGAAATACATATAAATTCAGGAAACATGAGTACATACCGTAATTTTGGGGACTGAAAATTTATCAGAGAGAAAAAGGAATTAAAATGGTTTATTTCTAGTAGAGCAACAATAAATGAAAGATAAACAGCAATATTGTTTTTTTTATCAGGAATGGGATTAACATTTATTTGAATTTCTGTATCTTCCTCACAGTGGTCCCAAAATCCATTAAAATGACTAATGTTCTTCACTTTCTTATGTTTGCATATTTTGTTTGATTTACTTTTTAGAATAGATGAAAGTTTTGTTTTTCTCTAATGCTATTTTTTAATATTTCTTAAGTTTAGCAGCTTGTATTCTACAACAGATATCTGTAAAATAAGTTAACTTAATCTGATACTGTGTTCAATGGCTGCGTCAGGGATTTTGGATTCAATAGACTTCATCAAATTCTTTGTACAGAATCACTTTCACTTTCAGCATTATATTCTGTTAAATCAAACTATGAGCAGTTCATTATTGAAATGTGTAACCAGTTGAGATGAGGAAGCAGAAACTCTCATTAGTTAATGTTATCTTTTATTCCTTTTGTTGCACTGAATTCAAAGACTGAAATTGTAAATTAAGGTTACTTGCAGTTTAAACAGATGTTTTCATTGTAATGCTTATATACTTACTTTCTTGTGTTATTTCTGGTAATGATCCCATAAGCATGAAGCAAGATATTATGCATAATGTTAGCAAATCAATATGTTACAGACAAGAAGGCTCATTGCTAAGAGAGAAGCAGTAAGAGCTGTAAGCACCTTACTGAGAAAGCATGTTGCATTTATTGAATGCTATTGGAATATATAGGACAACAGGTTTATTCTAAAAAGTGCTCTTTTGTACAGTGAAGCACATTGACCTGCACTGCTATCTAATGCTGTGTAAAATTCAGCAGTGGCTATTTTAATCATATAACTATACTATAATTTAAATTTTTCCTACAAAATTAATTTTATTTGTTGCCTAAAACATCATGTATTAAATGTTACAATTTTTAGGAAGGGGCTGAGTATGCCAATGTATTTTGGGGTGAGTGTTGTTATGTTATATATTATTCTTTGCACTGCCCATTCAATGATGACTTTGTCCAAAATTTCTGGCTTTGACAATGGTGAATCTACATCTTGGAATTCAAAGAACTTTATTGTAATTTACACCTCCTAAGACCTGCCCTTGGGCCTCATGATATTACCGATCTGGTCTTCCTTCCATTCCTCCATGTAAATGCTCAGATGTTCCATTTTTAAACATAATATGACAAATTAGTGGCTTTATTTGACCTATAATTATGTGAATGAGGAAACACTGTCTGTATTGGATAGCCACTGGCTTGATCTTAGCTATCTGCTAAAAGAGAAACCTTGACTGGGAACATATGGCTCATTGTCTCAGTAGGTAAGGTGCCCAAATATACAAAGCACAATACCAAAATTTGTTTTTAAATAAGTCGTCTTGATTTTTATCCAAGTTCTGCTTGATAATTCAGTTTCCACAGCAATTTAATTCACTGCTGGAACGGCTTGATTTTCAAGTCTTCACAACCCTTGAAAGATACTTTTCACTTTCATGAACTGGGGCGAGATGTGAATAGGGACAGCCTCACTGTGACCACTCCAACATGTTTTTATGGTTGCTGCCTACTTCACAAGTTATCTTACATACTTGTAAGTGCTGAGCCATGAAGTTGGTGAAATGCAGAACACTACAGGGATGCATGAATAAAGGGTTAATGAAAGTGACACTTTCTAGCCTGGTTAAGTGAGAAATAATCAAATGGAAAAACTGATTCACAATCCACTAGCTTTGTGCAATATTACAAATAGAATCAAACACTAGCACATCGTGCTTGGCTTTAAGACAGTCTTTAAAAAACAATTATTTAAATGGATATTTTAAATACACATTGTATTATAAAACTGTTCCTGCAAATTTACAATACCTAAAAATGCTCAGTGTTCTAAAGTATTAAGCAACAAGTGTAAAAATTAAGTGAGCATTTCCAGCAATATCAAGGGTATGTCTACACTGCATTCCTCTTTCAAGAGAGGAATGCAAATGCAGCTAAGTGAAATTGCAAATGAAGCATGAATTTACTAATCTCATGCTTCATTTGCATAATGGCATCCAGGTGCTTTTTCGAAATACCCTATTTCGAAAAAAATGTCATCTAGACCAGTTTATTTAAGAAAAGATCCTCCTTTTGAAATAATCCTTACTCCTTAAAAAAATTAGGTTTAAGGGTTATTTCGAAAGAAGGCTTTTTTTCAAAATAACACCATCTAGATAGCTTTTTTTCAAAATAGGGTATTTTGAAAAAGTGCCCAGATGCCATTATGCAAACGAAGCGTGAGATTTGTAAATTTGCACTTCATTTGCAATTTCACTCAGCTGTATTTGCATTTCTCTCTTGAAAGTGGAATGCAGTGTAGACATTCCCCAGAAAACTTAAAAAAAATACTGGTTTGTCTGTTTGCTTTTTGCTCTTTCTTTAGTGTAGCTTTTCTGTAATTATTATTTATGTAGTTCATGTTTTTACTATCATGACTTCATAGTTAAACCTGTACACAGACTGAAATCACCTTTTTCTTGTACATTCAATGTAACAACATACTCACAGTTTTGGTGCTTAAAAATGATTCTTTAATAAAGGATATTTATTTGAACACAGTTTTATCCACGGTTTGTCTCTTCCACTTTTTAAATCAAATCAACACAGTTTGGTTCCTCAGATAACATTTACTCTTATTTACCATTAGCCTTCCTTTTCTATCACATTCATCTCTGATAATGGTAAAGTTTAGCTGAGATGCTAAATTCCTGAGTGCTTGTATTATCACTCCACCATTGCATCAGTGGATACTTATTAATGGTAAACTGAAAAATTCTGCATTTATATTTTTTCATGCCTTTATGGAACCAGGGAGCATCTACATCTTGCAGTGAAACCAGAACAAGCTTCCAGCTGCAATTACTTGGTTTAAAAAGACCTGGAATTAGAATTAAGATAGACACAATTTGTGATTTCTATACAGGTTGCCTTTGCTTACTGCACAATATAATCTTCCCAAACCAGCCAAGATGCTATATTATGCATATTGACTCCTTCCAAATTAGTAGACTGACTACTTCTCTCTCGTGTCTTTGTCATTCTCTTAATTGTTACAAAAAATAATTCTGCATTAAGAGTTATACAGATTGCAAGGTCAAGCACTCAAATGTTGGGAAATTCTAAAAATTTAGAATACCTATGTAACATTAATTTAACCTTTTTGTGCATGTTATGACAATCTGATCATTTCGTCCACAGCATCTACTAATGTAATGCTTACATTAAATTGAAGTTTGTGGTTTTGGCATGATTTAAAATTTTTCTGACAATGCACGTGAGCGCTTAGGTATCTTATAGACTAGTGGAAAGTCAGGCAGCCTAAATATAGCACTGTATGTACAAAATACTCTTATGTTTGCTTTGAAAAGATTCACCCATTTGTTTTCTGGTGGGGGAAGGAAGGATTTTTTTTTTAGCTTGGAACCAGAAATAGATTATATTGATAACATTTTCAAAGAGAAAAGGAAGTTACTTACCTTGTGCAGTAACAATGGTTCTTTGAAACGTGTGTTCCCTATGATTGCTCCACTGTAGGTGTATATGCACCTCTAACTGGAGATTTTTGGTAGCAGTGCTCATTGAGCCCATGCATTTGCTCTCATAAGAATGGCCATACTGGGTCAGACCAAAGGTCCATCTAGCCTAGTATTCTGTCTTCCAACAGAGGCCAATGCTAGGTGCCCCCAGGGGCAATGAACAACAGATAATCATTAAGATCCCTTCCCTGTCACCCATTCCCAGTTTCTGACAAACAGAGGCTAAGATCACCATTTCCATCCATCCTGGTTAATAGGTCCATTAATGGACTTATCTTCCATTAATGTATCTAGTTCTTTTAGAACCCGGTTAAAGTTCTGGCCTTCAAACATCCTCTGGTGAGGAGTTCTACAGGTTGTGCACTGCATGAAGTACTTCCTTTTATTTTAAACCTGCCACCTATTCATTTCATTTGGTGGTCCCCTAGCCCTTACGTTATGGAAACAAGTAAATAGCTTTACCTTCTTCACTTTCTCCACATAGTCACGGTTTTATAGACATCCATTGTGTCTTCCCTTAGACTAGGACTCTTCAACTTAGAAAAGAGACTTTTTAATCTCTCTTCATACCGCAGTCATTCTAAACCCCTAATCATTTTTGTCTTTTTCTGAACTTTTCCCAATGCTAAGATATCTGTATGCAGTATTCAAGATGTGGGCATGCCATGGATTTATAGTGAGGCAATACGATATTTTCTATCCCTTTTTTGATTCCTAACATTGTTTGCTTTTTTTGACTTCTGCTGCACAGTGATTGGATGTTTTCAGAGAAATATCCACAATGACTCCAAGACTTATCTCTCTTGAGTTGTAATAATTTACTCCCCATCAATTTGTACGTATAATTGGAATTCTGTTTTCCAATATAACATTACTTTGCATTTATCAACATTAAAATTCATTTGCCATTTTGTTGCCTATTTCCTAGTTTTGTGAGATGATATTGAAGCTCTTCACTGTCTTAACTATCTTGAGCAGTTTAGTATCATCTGCAAATTGTGCCACCTCACTGTTTAGCCCTTTTTCCAGACCACCTATGTTGAATTGGACTGGTGCAAATACAGACCCCTTCAGGCCACCACTAATTACCGCTCCATTCTGAAAACTGACCATTTATCCCTATCCTTTGTTTCTGGTCTTTTAACCAGTTGTCATGGGATAAGAGGGGAGGTCCCATCATGGACTGACAACTCTCTTAAGAGCCTTTGGTGAGGGATCTTGCCAAAAGGTCTCTGGAAATCTGAGTACAAATATAGCCACTGGATCCCCCTTGTTGAGGCCCTGAAAGAATTCCAGTAGACTAGTTGACTTTTTTTTTCCAATAAATTATGCTCATCTGTGTGTCTGAAAGCTCTATTCTTTACTATAATTTCAACTAATTTGCCCAGTACCTGGATCTAGAGGTAATTGCCAGGATCACCTCTGGAGCCCTTTTTAAAGATTAGCATCACATTAGCTAGCTTCCAGTCATTTGGTACTGAAAATGTTTTAAAAGATAGGTTACAAACCACAGTTCAAAAATTCATTTAATTTCTTAGTAATGGCCTTATCGTCCTTGAGCATCTCAGTCGTCCATTGGCCCCACTGGTTGTCTGCAGGCTTCCTGCTTATGATGTACTTAAATAGTTTTGTTATTCCTTTTTTAATTCTTTGCTAGCTGTTCTTCAAATTCCTTTTTGGCCTTCCTTCTTATATTTTTACACTTCATCAGACAGAATGTATGCTCCTTTCTATTTTCCTCACTAGGATTTAACTTCCACTTTTAAAAAGATGTCTTTATCTGTCACTGCTGCTTTTACTTGGTTAAGCCAAGCCACAGTGGCAGTTTTTTGGTTCCCTTACTGTATTTTTTTTTAAATATGGGGTATACATTTAAGTTGGGCCTTTATGATTGTGTCTTTGAAAAGTTCCCATGCAGCTTGCAGGGATTTTACTTTTGGCACGGTACCTTTTAATTTCTGTTCAACTAAATTCCTCATTTTTATGTAGTTCCCCTTTCTGAAATAAAATGCCGCTGCTGTGATGTTTTTCCCACCACAGGATGTTAAATTTTATTATAATATGGTCACTATTTCCAAGCAGCCTAGCTATATTCACTTTTTGGAGTAGAGTCTGCTACTATATAGAATACTATGGTTAAAGATGGCATTGGGGGCTGAATGTTTGGTGATAACCATGTTATGTGAGTATGTGGGCAGAGGCCCAATTTACTGCTCTACAGATTGAGATAAGAATGTCTGTAAGGAATGTGACCCGAGGTAGAAACTGACCTCATGGAGTGTATGTGGACTCTGGCTGGAAGCACAATTTGTCCTTGATAACAGTGATTTACACAACCAGAGACCCATTTAGATAGACTTTGTGACAACATGGAGATGATTCTGCATATGCTGTGTGTTTGTCTCAAAGTGGTTTTGGGGAAAAACCAATGAGATGGATCTGTTAATTCACATGGAAAATGAAGAGACAGTAGAGACAAACTTGAGATATGGCCTTAGAGTTGCTTTGTCTTTAAAAAGGTTCAGAATGGTGAGTGTGCCACCAGGGTAGTATTTCACCTGTGTGCCTACTTGAGATGGCAGCATTAGAAATTAACCATCTCTTGTACCTCTATCTTCATGGACATATGTGCTAGACAGCAAGTTGCCATAGACTCAAAAGCCCTGAGAACTAAGTTAAGATCCTAGGCTGAAGTGGGTGGTGTCACC